TATCGAGTCGAATGAGACGGCTGTGAACATATCAGCCGCGTTGCGCGACTACCAAGAGAGAAGAAACGGTAGGAAACATGTGGAACGATCGCTGCGCGTTTCACCTAGAGCTGGACCAACATTTTTTACGTCGGTCCTTATTTCACGGTCGAGAAGTTTTGCTGTGGATTTTGATTCGAGGATACCCAGGTGGTGAACACGTCCCTGCAGTGGCTGACCACGCACTCGTTGCTGCAATACTCGTCTTCCCATTCGCTGTTCGCCACAGCGGGATTCGGGCATCCGTGACGTATGCAAGCGTTCGACGTCGACCTCTGACCAGCAATGCCGGCAGCTTGACTCACAGAGTTCACCGTTGCCGGAGAACTCGACAACGAGTCGCTCTTCGACGGATTCGTGTGCATCATTTGCTGTTGCTGTTGCTGTTGCTGCGACTGTTGATGATGTTGAGATTGCTGTACTTGCTGTTGCGGTATCTGCGAGAACGTACACATTTCCTTACACGATTTTATTTTACTGGTGTGCAACGTCATGACGTTACGAGCATCATTGCGCTCGTTACTTGAAAGAAAAGAAAAGGAAAACGCACCTGCATGTATTGTTGCTGCATGTGTTGCTGTTGCTGCGACTGCTGCTGCTGTTGTTGCTGCTGCTGCTGCGAAAGATGGGTCGGCGCCATCGACGTAGTCATCATGGTCTGAAAGAATGGGAAAGAATGCTGACAACCGCAGCAACGAAAGAAAAAAAAAAAACAAGAGAGAGAGAGAGAGAGAGAGAGATGGCGAAGAAACCTGTGGCGTTTGTTGCTGTTGCGGGTTTCCTTGCATGGTCAAGTGGTGAGGAGACTTTTTCATTTGCATCTGTTGCGTGGATTGCTGATGATGTAGTTGCTGCTGATGCGGATGAGGATGCGCGTGTTGTTGAGGCGAAGAAGGTTGAGGTTGCGGGCTATAAACCTGATACGAAACGTTTCCCGGCGTTGCATTCCCGGCGTAACTGCCGTACGCCGTGTATTGAACTTGCTGCTGTTGCGGCGATTGCTGTTGCTGCTGCGACTGTTGTTGTTGTTGTTGTTGTTGTT